TTCTTGTACTAAAGATATTGAACATTTGTTCATATATTTGTTAGCCCTTTAAATTTCTTCTTTTGAGAAATATCCATTTAGTTCATTTGTCCATATATTAACTGGGTTATTTATTGATCTTAACTGGTTTTAAGTTTTTTGAGTTCTTTATATATTCTGGATATTAATCTCATTTCAGAGAAGTAATTGGCAAAGATTTTTCTCACATTCTGTAGGCTCTCTCTTTAAATTCTTATTTTCTTTCATGTGTAGAAGCTTTTGAATGGCATCCTATATATTAATTATTGTAATTATTTCCTGAGGCTTAGGAAATTTAAAAGCAATTTACAAGTATCCAATATATAAAGTTACCGAGTAAATATTTCCATTCAGAAAAAAATAGAGTCATAGAAAGAAGAGGTGGGACCAAAGCAAGACTGAAATCCAGCTGGGAAAACAAGTCCTGTAGTTCTGTGTCCTGCATATGGAGTATATGGCATCATGATGTTCTCTCCAAAGGACTTGTATAGCTCCACCCCTGTGGCCTTACTGGTTGCAGCCTAAGTGGCCTTTCTGTTGGCTTTCTCTGCTCAGTTCCTGCAGCTTTCCTAGGATGATGTCCCACATTACTGATAGTTCTTAATCTTGGAGGTCTCCACTGCAGCTTCAGCTTCCTCCTTACCTCTCCACACATTGCCCTCTCTGGGGCTTCCCACAGGGACTCCAACCCTGCTGAACTTTTCTGGGCCTCCCAGGCCTTCCTTTGAAATCTTGGTGAAAGTCCCCTCAACCCCCTAATTCCAGCATTCCTGAAGAATCAGCACCGCGTGGTTGACACCAATGTCTGCCACTATCTTGAGCAGTAGCCAAGCCTCCAGGGACCCTGGCTGCATCAGTCTCCAACTGCCTGGATGGCTGAGCAAGTTGAAAAAACTTTTTAGGTCCTCTTGTGCAAGAAGAGTGCCCCACTGGTCTCTTCTCAAGAGAATTTTTTACCTTTACTTCCTTTAGTCTGAGATGGGTATGGTCTTGCCAGCTCCTGAGATGCCCTGAAGCCATCTTTCTCATTGTGTCTGGGCAAAGCCTTTAACATTTCTTTAGTGACAATAAAGTCTTCAATAACTGCAACTTTCTCAGCTCCAGTTTTACTCCCACCTTTCAAGTCCAAGTTTTTCAAATCTTTCTGCTCTGCTTTCTGCTCCTTATTATCACAATGAATTTGGCTAAAAGCTTCCACAATATCCATGCCACCACCTGAATGCTATGCTAAACATTTCTTCCACCAAAAGTCCATCACTTTTAAAATTAGCTTCACAGAAAGTTTCAGGACATGGGCTAAATGTAGACAACTTCTCAGTCATAATATAACATAAAGGCCTTTAGTCCAGTTATCAATATTGTCCACCTTTTCCTCTGAACCCTCTGTCTTCACTGTCCATAGTCCTATTGGCATTCTGGTCTTCTGAGCTCCTATCAGAATCAGCCATTAAGCTCTACAACAATCTAAAGCATTTTCAGCTGCTAAGCATCTCAAAATTCCTCCCATCAATTTCAAAAAGCTCAAAGTGCTTATGAACTATATGGGCAGATTAGTCACAGCAACAACCCCATTATTTGTACCAATTTCTGTTTTAGTCAGGTTTTTCACTACTGTGACCAAAGGACCTGACCAGAACAATTGCAGAAGAGGAACAATTTATTTGGGGACTCACAGTTTCAGTGGTATCTGTCCATAGACACTTTACCACTCATCTTTTTAAATTGTTTATCCAACATTTCCTCCACTTTGATGTCTATGGCATCAATTATTGAAGTATTATAAACTTTGGGGGGTATCTTATTACTTTGTAGTTTTATATTACCTATATTTCTATGTTGATATTTGCACATCTGCTGGGATGATTATTTCTTCTATTGTTATATGAGGGACATTTTAGTAACCTGTTTTTGTCCTACTATATGCCCCAGGCTGGGCAAGTATCTAAGTGTCAACACTTTCACTCAATGTGATCTCACTGCTCTATTTCGTCTCTTGCTCCATTTTGAGAGGTAATAATCACCAGCAACTGGGGCCACTTAAGAACCGAGAACCATACTAGTAACCCTTTTAAAACTTCTCCACGTGCAAAATGAGAATTATGATTTAGAATATCCTGAAAAATTAAGCATTAAAGAAAGTAAAATTACTATTAAATTATATAGAGCATTAACAGGAAGAAGAAAAAAGCAGAAAATTTAAAAAAATAAATGGGACGATAGAAATGGAGGTGATATAAGGGAAAAAAGAGAAACAAAAGTTGAGAGTATACTTGTGAACAGAAGGAAAAGTGAGAAAGAATAATTCTAAATAACGCTTTGAAACATTAAAATAAATACATAAAATTGGATTAAGGAATATACTTTCAAATAATAAAGGTGACCCATCGAATCAATACACAAGATAATATCTGTCAAATCAGTAACTGACATTAAAGCGTTATTCCATGTTAAGCTATTTGAGATCAAGAGACTTCTTATTAGTCTTCCCTGATTTGGACTCCATCCAGTTTTGGGAGGCTTAGTTAATACCCATACTCCTCAGCTTTACCTCTGTATTTTTCTGGGCATGTGGTAGCAAACTTACCAGCCCACTTCTGATTCAAATCTAAGAGTCTCCCTTTATGTTTTGGTGTGTGTAAGCATCTGATAACTTTCTGGAGGGTCAAAGGACACAACCCCTAATTTCCTGTGGCTTAAAAGTCAGGTCTCTCCCTGGTTGGGAATATAGTCCATAGAAATATTTCATGTACCCAGATTTGTCGAAACAGGTGTGAACTCACATGTGTAGATTTCAGGGTACTGTGGAGTTTGGTGCCCTATGGTAGAGGTATGGCAGTCCAGCAATCGTAGTACTGGGTGCTCTGTTGGAGGCAAGGGCAGCTGCCCCCAACTGGTTCATACATGTCAGTGGGCAGCATCTGGGCATGCTTAGCATTGACTGGGGAGCTCAAGTCTGCAGGCCACCTGTGGTAGGGGGGGCATGTTGCACTGCCAAGGCCATAGTAGGAGGTTTCTGCTGGATACTGGGGGTTTCATGGCTTTTTCAGCTGACAGGACACACTGTTATCGGGCCCATGTCTGGGCATACTTGGCAGAGGCCAGCATCTGTGGGGCACCTGGCACTATTGTGATCCAGGTAGATTTGCTGCACCTTATGGATCTCTGGCCAGCAGCTGCGGCACTTGCTGCTCCCATGGTGCTACATACCTTTAGAGTGACTCTCTGTTCTGCTCCACCCTCCTCCTCTTGTCTGGAGTGGGAGAATGGGGCTTGGCAACCTTCAGCTAGCAGCAATCCCTCTACAGATTACTGAGACAACCATTTCAAAGGTACTGCCTATGATAATATTCGCTGCCATCTGTAAATGGGATGAAGCTGTATAGATTTAATTCCTTCTAAGAGGGCAGTCTTAGGTGTGGTCTCTACAGGATGGCTGCCCAGCACTGTTTTCCACCAGCAATTTGAGATAAGCTGTGCACGTCTCACTCACTAAATGGCTTTTCAGCTGACTTAATTTGATCTGGCTTTCTTTTCTCCTGTTTCTGAAGTTAGCTTGCCAACTTGGCCTCTCTCTCTTTTTCTCTGTAACCCCTCCCTTCAGCCCACTCTGGTCAGGATTTGAGGTTAACAAATTCTTTCCTATTTTCTGTCCCAGTTTCCAGAATTTCCAAGTCCCTCCAAGTCTCTGACTGTCCAGTATTGTGTCTGGGCACATGCCTTCTCTCACTCACCTCACTGATGAACTCTGATCAGCTGTCCTCTCACGGCTTCAATTATAGACTTCAGAGGAGTCAAATGGGCTGCCTAGTTCTCTCCACCGTTTTCTCCAATTGAATCACTCTTCGTGTCTTCAAGATCCAGCCAATTTGTCTTGCTTTTCTTCTCACATTCAATAGAACTGGACCATCTTACAGAACCACCAAGAATTTTCTGTTAGTTTATGAAGAGAGTTATTATTTTCTAGATGTAGAGGAGACATAGTAATGGCCCAGAATGGCAAATAACTACAGAAAATGTCATTTCCAAAATTTCTTAGAACCATAATGCTTGGTGATTACTAAAGTGATTCTTATTTTCCTCTGTCCCCTCCATAAAACTGTTAGTAAGTTTTCCCCTATTTGGAAGGCTTTTTCTAATTTAACTATCATTAAAATGTAGTTTTAAATATTTCTAAACTACGAGATAACTAGAGAAGCCTCTTAGGTTTTATAAACCAATTTGGAGATTACTGATCTAAAAATATGGTAGAAATTAGACATATGTTCTTCAGAATTATTTCTGGCTGGCCTTCATGTTCTTGCTATATCAATATTTGTTTGGACACTTTTATAGATGTCTATCCTTTTGATCTGACATTGACTTATTCAACAAGTATTTGTAGAACACTTTTCATGTTATTGTTCTTGCTGCTAGGTGCCAGCAAGAAAGACACAGTGCCTGCCTTCATAAAGCATTAGCATCCAGCAAGAATCTAGATAGAATACAGGTTCAATGAAAGCAGGGATTTTTTTTTCTGTGTTGCTTATAATGTATCCCAGGTATATCTATGATAGTGTAAACATCAATTGAATGTTAAATGAGTAAATGATGAACACTAATTACATGTGTGTTGAATATTATGGGAAAAAAAAGGTCCAGGTGTTGTGAAGCATATCTTAATAGTAGGCCTTCTCTGGGGGTTATATAGAATTAGTCCTCCTGAAAACATAGACAGCCATCTCTTTAAAAGTAGTTATTGCAGGTTTAGTTAGCAATCATCACTTGGTTCCCACTCAGACCCTCCTTTGTTCATGGAGGCTTGAATCACCTCAGAATTTTCAGCATTGATTTCTATAAATAAGAAATTAGAAAAATTGCTTAATAACACCATATGTTTATAAAAAATAAATTTTTAAAAAATCACAGTTTAACACTGCTGATTTGTGTTTCTTGCTTCTTCCCTGCCTGCTCCCCCCCATCCCATTTTCTTTTCTGACTTGCAGATGAAGGGGCCTCTATGCACCCTTGTGACGATACCTACTGTGGCCCTTTCCCAGAATCTGAGCCAGAAGTGAAGGCTGTAGCTAACTTCCTCCGAAAACACAGAAAGCACATTCGGGCTTACCTCTCCTTTCATGCATATGCTCAGATGTTGTTGTATCCCTATTCTTACAAATACGCAACAATCCCCAATTTTAACTGTGTGGTAAGTATTTGACCCTTTATAAATGTGTCAGACTTCATGCTTCCTTTCTGATGCTAAGTGCTATTGGTAATAGCAAACACATATTGTGTTTATTCTAAACTATTTGTTTCATATAATAACTCATTTATTCTTCATAACATTTCTTATCCCAATTTTTACAGATAAGAAAACTGAAACCCAGAGAGGTTAAATAATTACACTAAGAATACATAGTTACTAAACATCATAGTCAGCATTCAGCCCAAGTCTAGCTTCAGAGTTGTTGTTTTTAACCACCATAGTGCTTCTCAAATGCAGTCATTTCAAGCCTATTTACATTCTTACCACAGGCTATACTGAAAAGGTCAGGATGGATTTGATTAGTATTACAGCTTTGGTCACATATGCAGGGCTGTAATTAACTTTATTGAGTCAATAATTGTTCATAAATTATAGTCTGACTCTCATTAATTAAAAGCAAGTTTTAATTTATAAGTGCTATTTGCTTAATGCTACTAAGTCTCTGGGCATGCATATGACAAGTTAGTACTAAGAATGAACAGACTTTCAGGCATAAGATTACTTGAAAATGAAAAAGCAGCATTCTCTTACTCCTTATCTCAGAAACCCAACAGACGATCCCCTACAGGACATAATACATTGTAAAATGAGTTCATTTTAGACCCTGTAGCATCTAAAGGTCTATAATGTTCAAAACCAAGAAAAACTAATAAATAGTGTTAGAATTCAGGATAGCAATGACCTTTGGGGAAGGGGGAGGGGTTCAGTGATTGAGAGGAGACACAGGGGTTGCCTGGTTAAATGCTTATTGTCTATTCTTTGACCTGAGATGGTGGTTACAGGAATGTATTCAATTTGGGATCACTTGTTGTGCTATGAAATTAAAATCTGTGTATTCTTCACTATGTATGTTTGAGGGGTTTTAACTCCTGACACCAAATGTGTGGTGTCTTTTCCAACATCACTTCTCCAACTGAGTGTCCAGTTTGATTCAGTTCTGACACCTACCTCCCAGGATTAGCATCAGACTCCACAGGTTAAGGACTCAGTCCCACAAGACTATTCCCACTTCAGACACCAGCTACAAGCAGTAGGTATTCAACTTATTCACACTTCTGTTCAACTTGGCTAAAGAGCTCCAGGTTCCCACCACCTCCTCCTTGGTTTTGATAATTCACTAGAAGGACTCGCAGAGCTCAAGAAAGTGCTTTACTATTGCCAGTTTATTATAACATGCACAGTTCAGGAAGGACACATGGAAGAGATGCATAAGACAAGGTGTAGGATAGAGGCAGGGAGTCACAGAGCTTCCTTAGCTCCTCAGGGCACCACCTTATTAGCTCTCCAATGTTCTCACCAACCTTGAATCAGTTCTCCCATTTTATAGGGAACTTTATGGGATTTCATTACATAGGCACATTGGTGGTTGAACTCAGTTTCTGGACATTCTCCCTTCTTCAGAGGTTAGGAAATATAGTTGAAATTGCCAACGCTCTGGTTGCATGGTTTGGCTTTCTGGTACTAGCCCCTAACCTGAAATTTTCTGGGGGGCTCAGCCACCAATCATCTCACTAGTATGTAAAGGACACTCTTATCATTCTGGACACCAAGGGTTTTAGGAGCTGTATGTCAGGAACCAGGGACAAAGACCAAATGATTTTTATTGTGTTACTTTCATATATATACTTGAATGAAAAGTTTTATGAAAGATAAGCATTTCCTTTTTCCTTATACCTTAAACTTCAAATACTATACAAACTGCTTGGAGTTTCAGGAATTCCTGATATAGATGTCCAAGCCCTAGAAGGAGTAGGGGACCTGAGAGGCCAGAAGAGAGCAAGGGAAACCTTTTATTCCGTCAAAAGGCAATTTTGTTCTTGGCATTCCAAGAATTCTGAGCAAATTACTTCTGTTTAGAAATATTGTAAGGATAATAATTGTACTCTATAGTACTATTCTTCAGCTGCTCTGTGGGTCAAATAGTCTTTCTTTTTGTTGTTGCTGCTGCTACACCTTTGTTTATACTGACCTGGCTCCCAAACAACCATTTGTATATTATGTTTAGCCCTTTTTGAGCACAGTGTCTATATTCTTATAATAGATGATGTGGACTATGCAAAATATAAAAATTATGAGATGAGAAATATTATCAATATTTTAAATGTAACTTCTTATCATGAGTTTAGCCTATTTTAGTTTTGTCTTGAATTGGTGGATGTGGCATAGAATAGATCAATGGTTTTCAACAAAGGATGCATCTGCCTCCCAATGGATGTTCAGCAATGTCTGGAGATATTTTTCATTGTTACAGCAATGGAAGATGCAATTTGGCATCTGGTGGGTTGAGGCCAAGATACTGCCTGCCAAACATCCTACAGCCCCCCACAGCAAAGATTTATTCAGCCCCAAAATCAATAGTGCTATTGTTGAGAAATCCTTGAGGCAGTTAAATATAACCTAAATCACTAAAACTAAGATTAAAAATTCTCAAACTAGGCAATCCCTGTATATTAACCAGAAGCCATTAAATTTTATCAAAATTGTTCAAAACATTTTATCCGTCTGAGTCTTTGTTTCTGATAATATTTTTAACACATTCATCAAGTTGCTTTAAATATGGAAATATTTGAAAAATATATATACTCCTTACTTAGCTGAGGACCAATAAGCAAGACTGAGGTCCTTTTGGACAATCAGAGAGAAGAGAAAGAAGGAATCACTTTATTCTTTCAAATAGGTATCTAGCTGTGCCTCCCTGAAAAATAATTCTTGGGGAAAAATTGATGAAATTTCCACTTTTTGTAGATAGAGCATATCCAAACCCCTAATCAACTTGCACCTGTACTCAAATGACAGAAATACATTGAGTCAAATTTTAATACCATACATAAGCTTTGTGTATACAGTCAAAGTGGCGCTCTCTCTCTCTCTCTCTCTCTCTCTCTCTCTCTCTCTCTCTCTCTCTCTCT